TTAACAAGAAACAAACCTTTTATTGATGATATGAAAAGGAATAAAAATGTTCAAGGATACAAGCTCTCAAAGGAAGGGAAATAATATGTGGGCTTATGTTCTCTCATATACTTCCATCTCTCTTAATGAAACTTACATTTCTTATAAAACAAAAATACGCAATTCACATCAATATGTATATGATATTTGCACGACTTGAAATAAAATGGACACACAACATAATATATTTACCAAAGATATTTGACAACCCTGAGATCATACCTTTTCTAATAACAGGTGAGGCAGTCATTCCAAAAATCTTTGGTTTGTTGTCAGATTTGTGATAAAAATCCTTCACCAAAATAAGATAAGAAAATTATTTTTTTCCACTAAAAGGAACAAAAAAAATGACAAAATACAGGCACAACACAAAACACAGAGTTAAAAAATTCCCAGCAGAGATATTAACCTTCATGATTTTTGTATAAGGGTGATTACCAGTAGCACGATGGCATTCATCAATGATCATCAAGCATACTGTTCCCAGACTCAAAAATGCCTTTCTCAGTGCATCGAGAAGAATTTGAGGGGTCATAACAAGTACCTATACAATAACTACAAATGAAACGATACAGAAATAATACCCTGAATCAACACAAGATTGGGCTTGGAGATATTTGCAAGTTAAATAGTTTGGAAGTGAAGTCTGTTTCCCCTCAAAGATTGAAAACACACTAAATGGGAACCAATTTAAAAATTCATTTGTATCAATCATGGTCCATATCAATAATATTGTGAACAAATCGTATTCTTTTAATTTCAATGGAGACGGCAACTAGATGGCCCATCCCCTCAACTGAACTGAACAACTCATAAGCATAATTTTCTTTTTAACAGGAAACTCACTTATCTTATGAGCATATTATAATCTAACTTTACCTTTAACTGGTAAAGATTTAGGCAATGATAGGCTATGAAAGTTTGTTTCTAATTTAGACCATACCGCTTCAAAACTAAGTTAATTAACATGACAGGTGCCTATATCTTCGTTCTTCAAACTGTCCACTTTTTTTTCAAATGACTGTAGTGCTTTGAAATTTTATCATTAGGTAACGTTGCTTCAAAATCCAACCGGATAGGGAGGAGATATGTGCAATGGAAATATATATAATAAATAAAAACAAGAACCGTGCACAATTCCAACAAGAAACTGAATCGACGGCACTAACTGAAGATTTTTTTTCTCTTTTGAGTGGGATCGGAGATCGAACAATCTATCATTGGGATAGTAATAGATGTCTCCTTATCCATTGACCTATGCTCAAATAGGCCTCGAGATTTAAAATTGTTGTAAACTTTTCTTTCTAATAATATTACATTACACATGAAAGAGATCGTACTCAAGAGGAAAGGCATTCGAGACATTAATGCTTGACCAAAAAAACAGGGGAGTGATGGAGATTGCAACAGTAACACATTAGAAAGCAAAAATCAAAAGCAACCAACGCTAAAAATAGGAGTATGTAAACATAGTTATACGGCCTTTTGGTAAAAAAAAAGACATACATCGTGTTCACTTGTTTCCTTCTCCCAGCATTTCAAACTCCAATCATCGACCCCCATGGCACCATAATACTCCGCCACTTCAAAATCAGTATGAGCTTTAATAACGTTAAATTGCTGCAATAACAGCAACAACCAAGTTTTTAAAATACAAATGAACCGTCGGAAACTTGCAGAAACATTACTTTCGAAAGAAAATACTAAGACATAGGCCTGATTATACATAATATATCTGTTTCCAAGCTGGGAACAACAAAACAGATAGCCTAAAACGCATACCTGATGAACCAGATGAACGGTGGGCGCCAAGAAAATGATGTACTTCTTACTACCACTGGACTTCATAGTTAGTCCAATTTCTTTGATAAGCATCACTGCGATCATGGTCTTTCCAGCACCTGTTTCCAACACCGCTATGGTGTTTCTCCTCATCCCAACTTCAAAAACCTCCGTTTGGTACCTACAATGCACCAAGGTTTAAGCCGAAAAAATAATAGTAGGGATTTAGGAAGTAATGAAATTGATCAAACAAAATATAAATGTAAAGAAACCTTCTAGGAATGAAGCCCTTGTCCATGGGTTGTTTGAAATCGGAAAAATCAGAAGCAAAACTGGGCTCCATGTCACTGAAGTTTCGCTTGCGTGCACCATTGCGATTTTGCTCCTCGAGGTCGTGCATGTCAAACGTTGATGACCAACTGAATGACGAAAAATTATTTGCAAATGCTACCTGCTGGGGAAGATGAAAGTAAGGGGAAATTATCGCAACCCTAACAGAATATGGAAGAACGTCAAGAAAATAATTATATTCTCCCGGAAGTCTCCGTTGTCTGCTCCCTGTTTCCCGCCGGAGTAAATGTAAAACAAAGCGGGCAGCAGAAAGAATGAATGAACTGATGTTCTGTGGCCGGAGAATCAGTCAAAGTTGAGAGTCTAACCGGCGGAGTGAGGTGTCGCTCGCCGGGTTTTGAGAAAAGTTTTTATCTTTTTATCTTTTTCTGTGAAACAAGAAAATCTTTTATCTTTATTGCTATGTTAAATGGGAAATATGAGAATCCACAATTTTGTCCTTTTGACAAATTATAAATTTACAAAATGTCATTAAAATTAGGGGCATTTGCGAAATTAGGGAAAAAAAATACTATTTTATTTGCAAAATTAGCATCCACGTCTCAATTGGAAAAATTGCACAATTTAGAGACCCAAGTCATCGAGAATATATACAAAAATCTAACTTATCCTCAAGTTTCTCTCATTTTAATATACATCATATTTATTTCATTTTATTTTTTATATACCTTATAGTCTAATCCTTTAGTGTCTGATATACTAACATGATATACCTCAAGTCATATCATTTGGTGTATTATTGTTGTACCTCAAAGTCATACCATTTTAATAAAATTGGAAGCTTTTTTACTAAGATATTATAAAATCACTTATATTGTGTATTTAACTTGTGAGGTGAAAATTTGAACTTAACCTCTATAATATGGAGGAATTTCTTGAACACTAATTGACTTTTGACTTTTAGTTTTATGATAAAGGTAAAAGTCATACTGTCTTTTGTTTGTGTGTTACTAGACTACTAGACTTCGTCCAAACGAGTATTTTACAGAGAGCCGACAAGGAATTCTATTAATAATTGGCCGGAACAACTCGATGAATTTAGTCGATCTTTTTTGGAGGACCCCATGATGATAGATAAAACCTATCCCATTTTTACAGTGCGATGGTTGGCTGTTCACGGACTAGCTGTACCTACCTTTTCTTTTTTGGGGTCAATATCAGCAATGCAGTTCATCCAACGATAAACCTAATCCGAATGAGCCAATATTTAGGAAAATCAGGCTTTTAGCCAAGCTTTGCGAAAAATAAAAAAGGCCCCTTGTATAGGTATGCAATTTAAGAAAGCACAACAATTGAAATAGGTAGTCCGCATTGGTATCCGATCTAACCGTTGTTGATATTTAAAATCAATCAAATAATGATGCATTAATACCATCTAAAAAAATTGATGGATCATTCTCCTCTCACCCCACAATTGTTGAACTACAAAATATGTATTTTAAATTTATGAGAACATGTGTAACCTTTTCATAAGGTTAAAAGTTCAACTTCACCCCCACATTTTATTAACTAAAAGAAAAAATGGAATACACAATTTTCTCCGGATAAAAACTTGGCTTATTAGTTGTCAAATAGTTAATGGTGGTAGGGGCAATATTGTTTCTTACTAATGAGGAGCAAGTTTTATCCATTTCCCTCCTCCTATGCATATTATATAATAAATGTCATGTTTTTTTTAGTACAAGTGAGAGTGGGGGATCGAACTCATAACCTCGTGATTTGAGGTTATATATATCAATTAGCACTAAACTATGCTCGTTTTGGTTAATAAATATCATGTTTGTTTATTCTTATTTCCAGAGTACATATTAATTAACTTAATTTGAGCTGACTATTGATACATGATTATTTCATGAAAAAATAAATAATTTTATAGTTTTACAGTGGTATAATATTCTATATTTTAGATATATAATATTCTATATTTTAGATATAAACTCTCGTCACTTGACTCTTGATTTAATCCAAAATATCTGAACAGAAATAATTGTCATCCCTTGGATCTTTTTTTTTTACCCTAATGGAAACTTCGATAACCGAAGTTTTAATTTTATCAGTTGTATTAGACGAATATTGTGGTTTATTATATTATTACTTTTTCAAGCCTTGAGATAACAATATGTGACTATATTGTTAGATATATCATAATGCTTTTGACATCATCTCTTGTACTGCACATTTGTACTTCATTTTTGCATGCACTTCGCAACTGTCACACAATCTGTTAAAATGCCTTGCAATGACACCTGTACTCATATTAAATAATGAAATTAAACAAATTTAATTCAATAAATCCCTAATTGTTCAATTATTATTTCAAGACGACATAGAAATTAGTATAAATTTCAACGTCACTTTCTTATGCTGGCTAACTCCTGTTATAAATGGCATTTCTAAAAAAAAAATAAAATAAAAAAAACACCTGTTATAAATGGAGAATTTTAAAATTTTAATGCTCAGATTAAAAATTACTTGCCTCCAATTATATATCTATTTTGTTTCCAGAGGTCTGTTTTTTTTTTTTAAATTAAGTTTATAGATAACTTTTCTACCTAATTTTTAAAATCCAAGTAAAAATAAATTGAAAACTGGTAGTCTTAAAAAAAAAAAAAACTTTTTTTGTTTCCTTAAATTTAGTGAAAAATTCAAATATATTTATAGGAACATGAAAAAATATGCCAACAAACGTGTGAATAAATAAGCATGATTTTTAAAAACGTATAACTAAAAACTATAAAATTATAATCAACACGACTTAAAAATATTAGACACAAATTTGTAATTAATCCATCTGTTTTGATTTTTGGATTTTAAAAGCTTATCATATTTTTGTCTCTAAAATTTCAAACTATTTATTTTAGTCTATCAACTTACTATTTTGGTCCTGACTTTTATTTTGATTTAAACAATTACTAACACAATTTGGAGTACGCGTATTAACATATTAATGCGTATTAACATATTAATATATATGAACCAAGTACTAAAATAAAAAAGATTGAAATTGAGCACTGTGATCAACAAATCTTAAATATTTTAAAGTTTAAAGATGAAAATGGTTACCTTTTCTAGAAGTTAAAGACTTTTTATAAATATATTTTTTAAATTTTAAGAACAAAAAAAGTGAAACTTCCAACAACTAAAATATAATTTGTTTAATACAAACTAAAATAAATTTTAAACCTTTATAATTTTGCTTAAAAATGATTATTTCCCTTGGACAAGTTTGACGGACCGTCGACCGTGTTCTATTCCCCAAACTACCCTTTTTATGAGAAGAATCTGGACGGGTAAAACAAGCAACGAACCAATAAAACGGAATGGCAGTAACGTAATTAACGAAAGTCTCCAGCGGCATTTCCGTAAGATGTCGCTGTATCGTACACGAGTACTGCAACTGCAAGTCACAGTACAAACCAAGCAAAATAAACCTCCTTGTTCCGTCCGCTCCCTTATCCGAACCCGTTGTAGAAATTCGATCGCCTTCTCTACTCTCTCTAAATTTCCGATTCAATTTCTGTAGATCTTGTTTCAGAGATCGAGCGAAGATGATGCACATGACCTTCTACTGGAGCAAGGAGGTGACTCTCCTGATCAATTCATGGCGCACCAATTCATGGCTGAGCTACTTCCTCTCCCTGTTCGCCTGTCTCATCGTCTCTGTTTTCTACCAGTACTCGGAGAATTACCGCATCCGTTTGAAGCTTCTTTCGTGTAGAAATCCGTCGCCGTCGGCAATCGAGGTCCCTCTCATCCAATCCAAAGTGGCCGGAAAGTGGCCGGCCGCCAGATTTGCCGAAGCGCTGTTTTTCGGAGTCAATTCCGCGATCGGTTACCTGTTGATGCTGGCGATCATGTCCTTCAACGGCGGAGTTTTCGTTGCTGTTGTCTTAGGGCTCGCGATTGGTTATTTAGCGTTCAGGAGTGACGGCGAGGACGTTACTGTTAGCGTTGAAAATCCTTGTGCCTGTGCTTAGTTCTTCCCCTCGGTTTACCAAACAGATGAAACAATTGCTATTCCTGCTCCTTTCAATTACGATATGGTTGTGGTTTCTTTCATTGTCTATAAAATCCACCGTTTAGGTTTCTTCCCGATCTCGCAAAATCGATTGTCCTTGTGGTTCAATTCTGCTATTTGAAAATTTCCAGATCTGTTTTGATTTTGTCTGACCTAAGAAATTCGTGCAGGAAGACGGTAAAATATAATGATTGGGGAAGAAAATCATGTGGGATTGAGGAAATTCATTGCCGAATTTGGGTATTGGTATGAGAAATTGGGGGCAGAGACCCATACATTAGATCGATCCCCTTTTGCTGCTGAATTTCGATTTCAGTCTGACAGATAAGATTGCAGAAAGAGGCATTTCTAATCGTTTTGAATGTGTAAAATTTAGACAAGGCATCATCAATCTTCAACTTTGGATTTTAATGTATAAAATCATTCATCGTTCTATCTTCTTGGGATAGGAAAAATCTTGTTGCATTATTCTTTACCTTCATGCCACGATAAATTTTTGAAATAGTCGTCTTCAAATTCTAACTTTGGGGTTGAATTCTCTCCAAAAAGTAGGAATAAAATATCTGGAAATCATTTTTCATCCACAAAACAGCCATGGAAAATTAATCTCTTTCAAAAAATAAAAAATAGAAAAATAATAAGATAAAATAAAAAATAGAAAATTGGTTTTTAGTACAAGAGAAAATTGATTGCTTTCAGTACAGTATAAAATTGTACATTATTAATTAATATTGTCAGGATGATTAAAGAATCATCCCTTATTGAAATTTATAAATTATGCACATTAATTAATAACTCTTAACGGATAATTAATAGTTAGTGGAGGTAGGTGGCCATACGGATTTGAACTCACTCCCTCTTAATTAATCTTAATCTTTTAAACCAATGAGTCACTCATGATAATTAATAAACAATATATATAATAAAAAATAATAATATATATAATAATGCTCAATTGGTTATCGACCAAATATATCATCGTATATTATATCATTTATAAAAAAAAGGTGCAAATTACATAAGCGTGCACATGTAAAGATATAGTTTATATTAGTATGTTTATGTCAATTTTCATAGCTATTGGTTGCATTGTTTGAAAAATAATATTTTTTCTCTGTAAAACTTTTAATTTTTGAAAATTAATTTTTGAGAGAACCGTAAACAAACAAAAAATAAAAAGGGAACCAGAAACAATATTTATCAACACAATCTTTTTTATTACCGGTGCATCAGAATGCAACTAAGAAAGGAAAATAGAACCATCAGAATAATTTGAAATGGAACCTCCTCAATCCAAACGTGATCTTGACAACTGTCATTTGCGCTAGTCTGTGAGCTACGATATTGTCTTCACAGTGAGTGAAGGAGAAGCTGACCAGATCCGACAAAGAGCAACACCTACGGACCTCACTAAAGACGCACCCTACCTCACCTCAACACAATTTTATTGGTAGATATTTGCTAATCAACATTTTCATGCTTTCGTTTAGAATAACTGTTCTTGTATTCTGATGATGTTAATTATAACTGTTTCACCAAATATTTTTAAGGAGATTTATTTTTATTTTTTATAACTAATTTTCTGTAAAACTTATTATTTATAGTTTAATTTTTAAGAGAACGAGAAACAAAACAACAATGTTTTCTTTTTTAATGCCAAATAAATAAAAATTAAATTTTTATTAGTAGATTGCTTATCAATATTTTAAAAAATAACTGACCAATTAAGCACTAAGTGATGGAGAATCAAACTCACGATCTCTTTGATTTGAGATATATGTCGATTACTGCTGAACTGCTCCCAGTTTTGACAAGTATTATTATTTTATTTAGGGCACGTTGGTTTATAAATGAATTCATACTAAAAAAAGGAGCTTGGTAGTTGGCATATACTAAATTTAATGGTACGAAGAATAATTTCTCAAGGTAGGTCACCAGTAGGTGAAATTAAATACCCGCCGCGCCCTTAGGAGTGACTTTCTCCCATTCTAGGCATGATCAATTTATTGTGCCCACTCCCTTTTAGTTTGTTCTCTTTAAAGATGGAATCAATTATTATCATCATCATACTACTTCAACTAATTCCATAATATAATAACCATTAAAAGCGTTTGAATTTATCAAAATATTGCATGGAAATAGCAATTTTAACTTATAAGTATATTTTAATTTTTTTAACTCTTTACTAAAAAAAATTTGTAGTAGTTAATTAGCATCGACAAATTATTTTAAACTTAACAAGTTGTTCTAAAGAAGAAAAAAAGAAACGTAACGAATGTAATACAGTATGTAATACATTTTTTCGAGTTCTCACAAGAGAATTTGATTTAACAATGAATAATAATAAAAACTAAAATAGTATTTTATATTAAATTTAAAGATATATTTAAAAGTAAATGGATCAAATTAAACTATTTATAAATTTAAGAAAAATACTTATTTTATATACATTTTAAATTCATTTCTTATATATTTGACGTTAAGATATTATTCAGTGCCTATACTAGGTTCAATTTGGTTCCAATATTTTGAAATGTTTATTTTTGCCAATGTATTTTTAACTTTGGTTCATTTTAGTCTTTTATTTCTTAAATATTCATTTTGGTCTTTGTAATTTTAAAAATTGAACATTTTGATCCTTATTTGTAAAATTTTATACAAATTCTATACATACCATGAATCTCTTACTATAAAGTTGTGATTACATTTCAAAAAATATATTAAATACAATGTCATGTTAAAATTGTTAAAGCAAAATTTAGATTAAAAATTAAATTAAGGAACTAAAAAGTACAGAAATCAAAATCAATATTTTGAAAGAAGATAGACTAAAATAAACCAAAATTAATTAAGAGTAAACAAACCAAAATTGAATAAATACTTTTGAATCATACCGAATAAATTCTCCTAATTATTATATATATATATATATACTCATTATTATATAAGGTCATGGCCAAGCGTATGGCCCATGTTTCTTCCGTGTTTTCATAGCTTACAATAAATAAAAAGGTCAAGTAGAGTTGAAACTTGAAAAACTTGGATCCTAAAACCTCACGCCATAATCCACTCCCCATCGGAGATCGGCGCAATGTGGCCGTCGTTTCTCAGTCTCGTTTCATTGTACGGCGGCTATCTCCGCCGCTGCTTCACCGCCGCCGGCCTTTCGGGTCAAGCCGTCGAAATCGACAACGAAACGACCATAGCCTTTTGGGGCCCGAAGATCATCACCAATAAACCGACCGGTAAACGGTCCCTGGTTCTTCTCCACGGCTTCGGTCCGATGGCGATCTGGCAATGGCGTAAGCAAGTCCAATTCCTCGCCGATGATTTCGACGTCTACGTCCCCGACCTGGTGTTCTTCGGGGGCTCCACGACCAAATCCTCGGAGAGAACGGAGGTTTTTCAGGCGATTTCAGTGGGAAAACTTCTGGAAAAGATCGGCGTGAAGAAATACTCGGTGATGGGGACGAGTTACGGCGGATTTGTGGCGTACCATATGGCTAGGTTTTGGCCGGAGAGGATCGAGAAGGTGATAATCGCGAGCTCCGGCGTCAATATGAGACGGAAAGATAACGAGGCGATGTTGAAAAGAGCAAACGTGGAGAAGATCGACGACTTTTTGCTGCCGGTGACGGCGGAACAGTTACGGACGTTAATGAAGCTGGCCGTATTCAAGGAAGTAGGCAGAAGGTTGCCCGACTTCTTCTTGAACGATTTTATCCATGTAAGGACAAAAATATTTTTACATTTCAAATTTTGGGGAAAAAAAGGAATAAAAATCAATTTTACCAAAAATATTGACAAAATTTATCTTCTAATAAAAAATTCATTTAAATAATTTGAATTATAAGACATGTATGCTCTTTAAAATTAGAGCTAGTCTTTTTTTTGGTTGGAATTTGTGAATTTTGGTAGGATTATTTAATGTCGAAGTTTACGTCACATTTAATTAAAATCAGTCGGCTTTTATTTATTTATATTTAATTAAAAAAACAATTGTCATTTTTTACCATATATATTATAAAAAATTTCACTAATTTAAAAAAGAAGAAAGAAACGTCAAAACCCCTAAATATCCACTGAAAAATGAATCCCAATAAATCAATAAATGTATACAAAATCAAATTCTATAACCATTCACCAATTGAATAAATCTCTACAAATTATATTTTTTTAATACATAGGTTTAAGTTTTTAATTAAAAAATAATTGCCCCTATGGTCCCCGACGACTCTTTGCATGGATCTGATATGTGTGTGCTTCTTTTCCTTTGATGGTGAAATGAAAACCTTCCACATTTTTTTTCTATATTATTTTAATTTTTGGGGTAATTGGGTGACGTTTGGTTTGACCTTATTTTAAAAAAATTAATAACATTGCAAGTTGCGTCTGCATGGTGGTTAAATTATTTTGGAATTAATTAATATAGTTTGCAACATATATATGATAATCTTTTTTTTTCTTTAGCTAAATTATGCTTCTTGTCCCTATACTATAGGTCCATTTTTTATTCAGAAATTAAATAGTGTATGGAAATAATGACTTGTGTGTATAAATTCAGAAATTGTACATGGAAAACAGGGAGGAAAAGATTGAACTCCTCAAGTCACTCACAATTGGAAGGGAAGACACCCTCAATCTCTCTCCTCTTTCCGAGGTGCGTCACATTTCTCTTCTTTAATATCAAATTAAAAGGTAACGTGACTGATAATTTTACATCGTTGACATTCGTTGAAAGATAACCATATTTAACAAAAAAAAAAGGTTATTTTAAAAGAGATTGATGTTTTTACCTAACTTGATAAGCGAACGAATTGATGTGCAGGAGGTTTTGATAATATGGGGAGATCACGATCAATTATTTCCCTTGCAAATGGCAAAAGAACTGAAAGAGTAAGCGATAGAACAATTATTTCATTCTCCTATATATAATCGGAGTAAAAACTCCTACTCATTTTAAAAAGTTTTGAGAAAATAAAAATAGAACATATACATGGAAAAGTTGATAAGATCTCTTATTGACTCGATCGATATTGAAATTTCAGTAGGGCTAGACTTACCAACGTGTTTTTTTTGCAGGATTCTTGGCGAGAAGACGAGGCTCGAGGTGATGAAGGAAACCTCACATGTGCCTCAGATTGAATCTCCTGCAGAATTCAATCGTCTCGTGAAGAGTTTCTTAAATGGGTCCTATGTTTAACTTTTTCCTATCTGATTTTTCTAAGCTTATGATGACTCAATGACACTTCTCAATTTCCCTTTCCCATACCCATACCCAATTCCCAGCCCCATATTGTGTAACGGTTATGGATCATTTGGTATTTTTTGGTGTTTTATATTCGCAATTGGTTTGATTATATATATATATATATATAGATCTTAAAGTTTAAGTTAAAATAAATAGTGAAAAACAAATATTACATATGTGTTACATTGTTAATGATTTTAATAAATTCAAGCTATATATAAGGCATAGAGTTATAATTTTAACATTTAAATTTTAGGACATAACTAGTTGAGAGATGTTGAAGTTGGATTATTTGACTTCATTCTACGTTAGAAAAGGAATTAGTAACTTTGATTTCATCAAATTTATTGATGTGGAATGAACATTTTTCACTCTCAAATAAATAAACTTTTGGTTAAATTATTTCCCGAATAAATGTACTATTTTGTAGTAGGTTGCTGTACCAACTTAATTTAATTACCAACAGGAGTATAATCTAGCAATTAAGATATATTTCTTGGGAGGTTCAAATACTAATCTAATAAAAATTTTGTACTAAATAAATCCCACTAATTTAATTTTAACATAGAAATAAAAAAGTAGAAAGTAAAAGTCTCACTAACTACAATCAAAATAAAGTCTCCAACAAATCAGCACACAAAATAAAGTCCTATACTCATACAACTATTAAATAAATTAAAAAAAAAGACTCACCAATTTCAATACAAATTCAACTCCATTAATATATTTTTACTAAAATCCTATTAATTTTGTACCAAGTCTATATTTCATTGAAGAATCATTTTTTTAAACAAAAGCATAACCCTAACAAAACATAAAATTGCAATACTCATTAAAGTCCAAGATAAAAATTACCACATTGATAACAATCTAAATAATAGACCAACTTTATTATGTGTAAATTGAAATTTTCACAACCAAATTCATTTTTTAGCCTGTACTTAAATAGACTCCAGAGGAGAATGAATTTCACCATATTTTTAATTAGCAACCAAAAGATTTAAACACAGCCAAAAAGAAAAGAAATGACCAACCTAAAACAGTGGGGCGGCCAGAGTTTTCTCCAATCCCCACATCGTCTTCTCCGAAAATAACCTTAGAATCTGGAACGTCCCATGTTGTCCCCTTTCCAACCAACTTTAACTTCTCCGCCATTCTCAGACCTCAACTCTCCATTAATCTTCAACCGCAAACCTTCCAATTTTGAATCACCCTTCTCCGAACCGCATATACCCAACACCCCAATAACTCCAATTCAATTTCCCTTCCCCCTTTTATTCCCCCCATTCCCCTCATTCCTTCACCACCAATCCACCATCCCTCTTGATCTCGATCTCGATCTTCGCCATGGGAGCCTTGAAGATGAAGCTTTCTACCACCGCCATTGCTGTGGGTTTTCTAGCTCTGTTCCAAACTTTTCTGGTTGATGCCACTGAATTGAATTACAAAGATGCCCTCAGCAAGGCCCTCATTTTCCTCGAAGCTCAGAGGTCCGGCAAGCTCCCTCCCAATCACCGCCCCGCTTGGAGAGGCGACTCCGCCGTCGACGACGGCAAACTCGCCAATGTCTGCTCATTCTTCCATTTTCTCCGCTCTCTCTGTCAACTCAAATTTCTGATTTTAACACGCTTTGAATTTGCAGGTTGACCTTGAGGGAGGGTATTACGACGCCGGCGACAATGTGAAGTACGGACTTCCGATGGCTTTCACGGTTACAACTCTGTCATGGGCGGCCATGACTTACCAAGCGGAGATCGAAGCCGCCGGCGAAATGGAAAATGTTCGAGCCGCAATCAAATGGGGCACCGATTATTTCCTCAAGGCCTGCTCTCGCCGCAATCGTCTCTATGTTCAGGTAACAGGGACATCCCCTGTTTTTGCCCTGACATTGGTTTGAAATGAACAAAACATTGATGAAATTAAATTATTTATTTGATGGTGAAGGTGGGAGACCCGGTGAAGGATCATGAGTGTTGGGTTAGGCCTGAGAATATGAAGACGCCAAGAACTGTGCTGCAGATTGATAACAACACGCCCGGAACCGAAATTGCAGCTGAAACCTCCGCGGCCATGGCGTCTTCTTCCATTGTCTTCAGAAGCGTCAATAAAACCTATGCTCGTAGACTCCTAAACAAAGCAAAATTGGTACTAATTTCATTACTTCACACAAAATTTGCAAGTTCTGCCCTCTGGGATCAGGTAATTTTAACTAATTGGTAATCTTGTTCCCCCCTTCTCTGTTGCAGCTTTTTCAGTTCGCTAAAGCGCACAAAGGAACTTATGATGGAGAGTGCCCCTTCTATTGCTCTTTTTCAGGCTACAATGTATGTAACTCTCTAGTTATACGTCTGTTTTGCACGGCTTTATTTTGATTTCATAATAGCCCTGGTAGAACGAAGATAATTATACTCATCCATATAATATGAATCATGCTCGAACATGAGATTTTGTTTGGATTCAATTTACAAACCCGACACACAGGACGAGTTGTTGTGGGCAGCGACATGGCTATACATCGCAACCAAGAGGCCAGTGTATCTGAAGTACGTGAAAGAAGAAGCCATTACTGGGAGTGTAGCGGAATTCAGCTGGGACCTCAAATATGCAGGCGCCCAAATTCTTCTTTCCAAGGTAAATTTCATCAAATTACAACAACACCGTTTCAAATTCTGAAAAGGAATTGTGGAATTGCAGTTCTATTTCGAGGGAGAGAAGGGATTACAGACGTTGAAGGATCAGGCGGATAGTTACATATGCTCCAATCTTCCAAACAGCCCTTACCACCAAATCTACGTATCCCCAGGAGGAATGATTCACATGAGAGATGGCGCCAACACCCAATACGTTACAGGAACGGCTTTCTTGTTCAGTGCTTACAGCGACATTCTTGCAACCTTTAAACAGACCGTCAAGTGCGCCGACCAGCAGTTCGATTCCACCCAGCTCATGTCTTTCGCTAAGAAACAGGTAATCAAACCCACAAAATCCACCGCCTTAATTAGCGATTAATTGTGTTTGAGATTTCTAATCGGAAACGGGTGCGCGCAGATGGATTATGTGCTGGGAATCAACCCGCTGGGGAGATCTTACATGGTGGGGTTCGGAAACAACCCGCCGGTTCAGGCGCACCACCGCGGCGCCTCCGTGCCGGTTCTGGCGCCGAACGCGGAAGTGAGCTGCCCGATGAGTTTCGTGGAGTGGTTCAACAAGAACACCCCCAACCCCAACGAGCTCACCGGCGCCATTCTCGGCGGCCCCGATAAGAACGACAACTTCGTCGATAAGCGTTGGGATTCGCCGATGACGGAGCCCGTCACTTACACCAACTCCCTCGCCGTCGGAGTCATCGCCAAGCTCGCCGCCCACAAATTTACCTAATCGGAGCCCTAATTATCTAATTCTCTGCATCCTCTGGTTTTTTAGGCGTTTTTGAAATTAACAATTCTCTGCGATGTTCTTCTTCTTCTTCATCTTCTTCCTTCGTGGTCTTGCATTTTTTCGTTCTGTGCAGCCAAAGAAGACGATTGATTGATGCTTTCTGGGAAGTAGAGCCGTAACAGATTTTTCTGTTTGTCACTCATTGTAATATTTATCAATAATTAAAAAAAGGGCTAACTCTATTTTATATTTTCGCTCTCCTACTTATCGCACTTTTATATATTTTTTGTTTGAATACAATAATTGTGTCCTTGTATTTTTTGTTTATTTTGGTTACTAATCTTTTTAATTCCTATCTAAAAATTTTTAATAGAAATTATGTATATAAATACATTTTTTATACAAAATTATGGTTGTATTTCAATAAATGTATGGAATATAGTGTCGCATTGAATTTGTAATTAAAAATAAATGATATATAAAATAAAATAAAATGACAAAAAATACAAAATCAAAATAAACGTTTCAAAGTATATAAACTAATGAATAAAAGTCAAAATAGGATTTAAACCTTTATTATTTAAGAACCTTGCTATTAGAGTTAGACACTAATAGGTTTTTTTTAAGTTTTCCTAATTAAATCTTAAAATATAAGATAGTACTGTGTAAGATTTTAAAAAGTTTTTAAAAAATATGTATAAGAGAACGAAGAAAAATTACTATTTAACCATCTTTTAGAATGAAAGGTAAAATGTTAATTGCCTTTTTCTAACCATTATAACTGCAAACAAATAAAATAACAAGCACACAAAAATTTATAAAAACACAAAAGATAAAAAATCCTAAGAAAACCACCGGACATCTCCAAAAAAACATCTACCATTAATAATTGGTTACAACTACCGTGGATGATTCATTGGTCCAAAAGGATCAGAGTTAGTTCAAATACTATGATGGCCACCTACCTTATAGGATTTGTTTTTTTTCTACTTCATGCGATTCCTCTACAAAACATCAACTTGACGAATTGGTCTTTTCTTTCCCTTCAAAATAAAATTTAGTGATTTTTTTTATACAACAAATGTGAAGATCTAGGATAAAACCTCTCAAAATGAACTTGATGTATTGACAGTTAAATAAGCTCATGTTGTCAATTTTCAAAGTGATTTATATTTTGTTCGAGATTAGAAATAGGGAGAGGAAGGAGGATTTAAATTTTCAACATTTTAAAAAATGAAAAAATAATTTCAAATTTCAAATTTATTTGGAATCCAAATAAATTTTAATAGATTCAAAAACTAATTTGTGTTGTTTGGATGTAGGGAGAAAAGAAAAGAAAATAACTATTTTATAATTATTCCCTTATAATTATAAAACTAATAAAAAATGAAACTAACCACGTGAGATTTTAAATTACCTGATAGTTCAATGTTAAAAAAATAAAACTTTTACTTGATAACACATGTATTATTAAATATGTTAAAAGAATCTTAATTCGAGAGGCATTATAGCTTGTTTTTTAACCTTGTAAAATTGAATTGCTATAAATATATCATATTGTATTGTAATTTAAAAATAAAGTACAAGGAGGACAACTCTCTCAAAAATTTCGTTGGGACTTAGAAGATCTTTTTTTGGTTGGAAAATGATTAATTTCTAAACTGACGAAATGTTTAATTTTAGTTGAATTAAAACTATAAAAGGAAAAAAGAAAGGCAGGCTGTGGGATAATTTTCCAACAGCTTCCTATATGGGTTGAAAGCGACCGTTCACCTGCCAGATTATTCCCGATTAGATGGAAGCACTTCGCCACGTGGCCCAATAACCTTCCTTCAAAGGTTCTCATGGGCCCCAGTAAACTTGTGGGCCCATTCGATTAATTATTATTGGGCCCACTTTCCGTATAGAAGATTTGATTCGGGATATTACTGTAAAATCCACCTTCCTTTTTCAGTTCAAAAAGCGCACGCGGCACGCTCCACGCCCCGGGAATCTGATAAACGCCCACTGGTTTATATATATATTTATATAATATATGTATATAAATATATACATACATATATATATTTATATAATATATGTATATAAATATATACATACATATATATATTTATATATAATAATATATATATATATATTTATTATTATTATTATTTTTTCAAAGTGCCGACAGATGTTATATTCTTTTCTTAAATTGCATCCAATGGTTTTTTGAGATAATATTTTTAAAACTTACAATATTGTTTCTTATATTCTATTTTTATGCCTAAAATGAATTAAGCCAACGTGAACATAGTTCAGTTAATTAAAACATTAATTTCTAACATAAAAAAGTCATGAGTTCGAATTTATACTCCTACGTATTATATTTAAAAAAATGAAAAAAATTGAAGCGAGTGAAATTGTGAGTTTAAATTTTCCTTCCTATTTATTCTACTAAAATAATTTTATGAAATTGAAATAATTAGAAATGAGGTGAATGAATTATACACGATTTTAGTTTTTTTTTTTTTAAGATTTTTTGACAGCTAAGCCGAGTGGAGCCGAGCCGGATTGTAACGGACAGCTGCCAGTTGTCGCCGGGAGGACTCGAATCGAACTATATTGATTATCGAGAAAAGCGGAGAGTGGAGGTTTGTCGTGGGACCCACGTTCGTGAGGGCAATTTTTGGATAAGGCTCAACCAAAACTCGCTTCGGTTCGTCATTTCCACGTCAGTCCACCCAATCCAAATTCAAGAACCCTCTATCTCTCTCTCTCCTACAGTGACCGACCAGAAGCTGCAACGTGTCGGCCTCTGCACCGTTAAATTTTTCCAACTGCCAACGTGGCACATATCATTAAAAAAAGCACGTTGCCTCCGTAAATAATCTGGTGGGTAAAAGGTCTACTGTATTCTGGTGGTCTCTCCCAATCTGATGGATGGTTGGGATTTTCCGAATCGTTGACTTTTTTTTATCGATTTTTCTTTAAGTTTTAAGAATTAAAGTACCAATAATTTGACTATTTCGTCAATTTTTTATTACACGTACTATTTTGTGATCCTTTCTTCGTTTAAATCTTTTGATATACTTTTATCGTAATCTACCATAAATATCTAATATGAATTATTTTTACAACTTTAGTCTTTTTTTAGTCTTACATTGAATTTAGTAAGAATGTTTTTTTTTTCCTCTTACCATCTGAGTATAATTCGTTGTTAAACTTATTTTATCTTCTTTCCATTTATATAAAAGGTAAAAATATAATTTGTTTATAAGTTATTTTCTCTTATTATTATAATTCCTAGAAATTATTTTATGAGAAAAATTACTATCAAGATGATGAGTTGAGTTGGTTGGAGTTGGTTTTAAAATGGCTTTGGATTTGTAGCCATTTATTTATATTTATTTATTTGCAAACACATTTAAAGGTTAGGATAGAAGAGAAAATTGAATGAGGGTAGAAAAGTCAGAGGGGTACATGATTGTGTGGTGGAAGCGCAGGCAGCAGATAAGCGCTAAATATATMAAAAATTATCAGAAAAATAAATGTGATCCATGGAAGCCCGGCAGATGAGGATAAGGCCTTCGGCTTTCCCTTTCTGCGTTCTTTATCCTTTTATTTAACTCTCTGATCGAAGATGATATTACTGTTTCCGTTCATTAATTATTTCAAATTCACGTTTCTATATATAAATTGCTGTCTGTTCATCGTTGGACAATCTCTCTCCTCTCCAGTGAAAAATCCCAGTTTCTGAATCTGATTTGCGGATGCAATCCATGGCGGTCTTCGTCCTCCATTGATTAAATTATCATATCCATATATTCAACTTCGCTCTTTCGGTATATATTGTCTACAGTTGAAGCCATTTTGGCGTGTTTTGATCATCGTTCATCCATTTGGTTTGGTATTATTCTCTCTGAAACAGCCATCATGTCAATTGCTTTGGATAGAAATAGCAGGATTCCGCCGTCCGTTTTCTCGCAAGGCGGCTTGCCGTCGTACTGCTCCGTCTTGAATACGGCGGGAATTATTCCGGTAGTTCGACGAGAGGCTGCCGTCGGTGATGCAGTGGCGCCGGCGGAGGAGTTGGATAGATGTAGTTCGTCTTCATCGTCGTCGATCGGAGAAAACAGTGGTTTGTCTGTAAAATCGTCGGATAATGACGACGACGGGGAAAATAATGAGGCGGAAAGCTCTTATAAAGGTCCTCTAGGAATGGAATCGTTGGAGGAAGTTTTGCCTATGAGGTTAGCGCTTGTGTTTTGTATTTTGTTTTTCCTCTAAGTAATCTTCAATTTCTTTTTCTTCTTCTTTCTCTTCTTCTCCATGGATTCTAGATTTAGGGCAACTTGATCGATCGCCTATCGATTTCGATTTGACGGCTTTGATGATGAGATTCCGTTGAGTTTTAACAAGTTTGTATTGTCTCGTGAATCATTTGCAGGAGAGGAATTTCAAATTTCTACAACGGAAAATCCAAATCCTTCACGAGCCTGGCAGAAGCTTCCTCTGCCGCCACCATTAAAGACATAGCAAAGCCTGAGAATGCCTATTCCCGGAAACGGAGAAATCTTCTTGCATCTAACCTCATCGCCGGCGGCATATCGAAGCGGCCGATCAGTTCAAGTCGAAGCTCGTTGGCGCTGGCTGTCGCCATGTACACCTCTGGAAGCCACAGCAGCGACGATCTGAATTCGAGATCGCCACCACCGATTCGTCCTCCATTGCACCCCAACGGACGATCTTCTCGCAGCAATTTAGCTTCTACAGTTCATCTTCTTTGTAAATACCCCACCTGGCGATCATACTCCCTGGCCGATATACAGTAGCTCAGGGCTTCCGTGACCCCATGAAAGCTGATCATCATCAATTCAAAGCTAACTTGACCTTGCGAAACCGACTATCGACAAATCGGTCTCTTCCAACAATACATTTTCTTTCAAATTGTTAACGAGCTTTACTTCGACAGCATCTTTGTTTTGATTTTTTGTATGTAAAATTAAGAAAATTGCAGTCGATCTTTCGAATCGATATCTGTACGATAATAGAATTTGAAGAGCAAATGGAGAAATCTGAGAGCTTTTTCCTTTTTTGGTGCATAAAGTCGTAGGAAATTTACAGGGACGTTTTTCTCAGGGGAAGATTCGACACAAATGACAATAAAACATAACGGAGTGCCGATGTCCGTCGTTAATGAATTCTATGAAGATGGCGGTTTCGATCGAATTCAAGGTACACGAAGAACACGTAGACGATTAAAAATGGAATTGGAAGAACTCAATCTAATTAGAATTTATAGGGTTGTTTCACATAAAGTAAAACTGAATTTAGAAGGGATGCATATTTTTAATTGTGCCCTATTATGCCTTTAGTTTTATTTGATTGTTTTTGTTTTAAGATAATTTGATTGAAAATTTATTTATCCTTCTGATATATAATTCTTAAATCATATTATACCTTCACATCATTCTTCCTGTGAATAGTAATATGCAAAATTACTAACACTATCATAAAACTAAAAATTTTCTTGCATTGCAAATTCATGCATAGTTCAATAAATGAGACATTTATTACCATCTTAAAAGTTAGACATTTTGATATCCATCTCTATATTTATTGAACCCGAGAAAAGAAAAGAGAAAAATAATCCTGCGAAAATTTGACAATTTCATCTTGAAGAGTGTTCATAACATGTGAGCATATCATCTCATCTTCTATTCCTGATTTCTTACTTCTTGACTCAGAAGTATAAAGATGATGAATGAAGATGGTAGTTAAGGAATTCAGCAACTAGACAATAGCTTAATCTCAAAGATGTGGCTTGTAGTTCATTTTTTTTTCTTTTAACACATGCAATAGAGAAAATGTCCAGCCTAAATATAACACATCTATCTATGGTGGTTAATTCAAATCTCTTCAAACGAAAAATAGAAAGACATTTAAGAAAAATGTGAGGTAGGGGTCACATTCGCTGGGGATTAGGCAAATATTCAAACTAATATAAGAACCTAACAATGTTTCTGAATGCTGGGGGGGCCTAGATTTACATCTATTTACATACAGTGCTATTTCCAGCATCATAATACAACGAATGGATTCCAAGTGAAATCATTTACAAATTGAAGAAATGGAAGCCTTCCTAGCTAAGCTATCTATTTCCTATTTCTGTAACAACTATATACTACCGACTACTTTAATCAAATGAATAGGGAAATGAGACCAGTTTTTCATCTGCACAAAGCTTGAGCAATGTCGAAAATCAACCATCGGGGTATTTGGGGGATAGCTGGTCAAGCTCCTGGGCAGTACGGTTGTCTTGCTACTCCATTGTCAAATCTCGACCTCAAGTTTGAAAATCATGATGAATAGGGGGAAAAAAAATTACTGGGCTCCATATTGACGGCCAATCCCGGGTAGGAAGAGGATGAGGTTCTGTCAGGATAGTTGTTTGTTTATGTGTCGTGTAAACTAACTAACTACTTTTGATGCTCGACCAGAAATTGAGCACAGGGATATTCTGACAAGAAAGTGGGAAGTTCAATGTCTGAAGGTTCAATTGCGGGAAGGGCCATATCTATGTCTTCAGTAGAGAATGGGATGCTGCAACCAATATACAACGATTAAAAGGATCATCAATGTACAAAAAGGGGGAAAAAGAAAAAGAAACCGGCTCGGTTAATAGCATCCAAGCTTTTAGGGAAACAATAGCTCAAATTTAACCAACCACTATATGGTAAAATTAAAAAAAAAAGGTAAAAAGAAAGTTACCTTAGATCATCATCCAACAAAAATGAATTTGAGGTTAAGTTCTGATTATCCTTGTTCAGAATTTCCCTCATTTGAGCGACCACCTAAAAACATGCTAACAGTTAACACAGATGCCAAGAAACAAACTTCACCAAGCAACTAGAAATGGAAAATAAAACTTGCCTCATTTGACACACTCTGAGTGCCATATTTGTCATCCCAATACATGGTACTAATACGATAAATTTGTCTCACTGTCAATGCCTGTTCAGTAGTCATAACATAAGAAGAGCCAAGTTCCAATAGTAATGATTCCTCAAGATATCCGGTAATAATGAAATTATTGGCCAGCCAATGAATATATCAGACAAACAAATAAAAGAGTAAAGACCATACAGGGCAAAGATCCTGTCGTATCTCTTCTAGTGATTTCTTTCTCTTCTGATGTATTACCTACGTATAATTCAAAATGGCATAATTAACCACAGTTCTACAACCATAGAGAAAGAGGGAGGGTAGTACAGCAAGCATATATACCAGAAACCCGACAGCTTGCCTTATATAGTTTAGCTCATGCCAAGAGGTCCCTGAATACTACAGTTTACAGAGATTCAAATTTAAAAAATAAGTTAAACATTCAATTTCGGACAAGAAATTTTAATACTCTCCAAGACTCCAACTATAGTATTTATTCACTACCTCATCTGTTGCATTGCCAATCCACTTCTCTAGTTCTGCAAGACCAGATTTCACATACTCACCATTTGAAAATGTACAACATTCACGTCGCAGAAGAAGGCTGAAACAAAACATCACGTCCAGATTTAATAAACAGTTTATTACAGCCTAAGGGGCAGAAATACAACCACATACCTATTAAAAAGTGAAATATTGATGAACGAGAACACCTGAGTAATCAATTTACGAATGAAGAAAGATGGTACCTGACAAGCATTCTTCAGGTCAACAGATAATACAATCCCAAAATTCACATATTTACTAGCTAAACCATAAGAATGCAGCAAAACAGATTGCAATTTATCAATTCCCTTCACATAAAAGGTAAATATAAAGTTGAATAATTGTTGTGTATTAAACTTGTACATGGGTATTGCTCAAGTAACTGCCAAGGAATATGAAAAAAAATAAAGGAAAGAGTCGGTAGATGGAGCTGGGTGGAGAGGTTGGTAGAGCTTTCGCCTATAAAGAGCACAAGGTCAGGAACCCATGGAACATTTTTGCTGCTTGTATCTGCTTCTTTCATGCTTAATAGTCGAATCATTAAGTTTTTATCCAAAAATAAAGTACTTGAAAATACATGAACTCGTGAAAGAACATAACTCAATATACAAAGAAAAATTCATGGAATATGCAAAATATCTATGGCACAAATATGATGAATACATAGATATCTATGTTGTAACTGGATCCCAATCTCATGTTTTAAGAGGGTTGGTTGGATTTTTCACCCTTTCTGAAGATGAAATTCTTAAAACTGTTAATGAGTAGGATAATAGAAAATCTCCAGATTTTATTAGTTCTACCGATATTTTCTTAAAATGTGCTGGAACATCTTTAAAAGTAAAAAGGTTTTCAACACTTACACCAGCTAAACTAAAAATCTACATAGCAAAGGCTTTTTCTCAACCTCTGATCTTATATTTTTATGTATTCATGCAAAAATAAAACCTAAATAAATCATATAATCAAACATCACGAGGATTATTTCAAAGACATACATGATTTTCATGTAATTGGCTCATCAAAGAATCCAAAAACTTTATAATGTTATCCCATGGACTACTTGTAGACAATTGAGGAACACCAGGCGATCGAGAGGACTTCCCAGCATGTACTCGTGCAGCTTTAGGTGCCTGACAAATAAACAAAAAATATTGCATTATCCAATACCTGTGCATAATGACTACTAAAAATGAAATTCTAGCAATTAAAATAGAGACAACAGGAAGAAATCAATGTAGAAGGAAGCTAGTCATAAACTTGAAAAGAAAAGTGGCTACAATTTACAATAAAAAGAGTATATCTTGAATTTCAATAAACAAATAAAAAGAAAAAAAAATGGGTCCATAAAGTAAGACCAGACAATAGGCAAGCATAGAATATCATAAATATATGATAAAAGAAAAAAAAATTATAGTTAGAAGGTACTTTTGAAGATTTAAAAAGGGGGCTTTTGCAAATTTATCACGTGATAGAATATTTTGTTTTTTTTTTATAAGACGTGATAGAATATTTTGCAAAAATGACCCGAATGTAATAACTTGTATATCAGTATTCTACTTCATATTAGATATATCAATGGTATACTTTATCAATGATATCAAACAGGTATATCAATATAGATTTTACCAATGATACAAAAATGGCATATAAATGATATAATATCACTAATAAACTTTGTCATAATACAAAAACAGTGTATTAGTGATATATTTTATTGGTATATTAGTGATATACGAAAAAAAAAATTGCTATATTTGTTGCTTCCATTATAATTGTAAAAACTACTTGAAAACATTCTCTTCGAAGCATTTAACAACAAACTAGGTGCTAATCAGAAAATATTCATTTCAAACCTACTCTCAGTAACATTTCCCCACAAACTTTAAATTGGGCATGGAAAAATATAAAAAATGCAGATCAGTGTTATCTTTGAAGGGAAACAAAGCAGTCAACGATGTAAAGTATGCAGAAAGAATGATCAACATACATCGCTTCAAATGGATACAATTAAAATCTAGAGTGCAGAAACCAACAAAGGAATTCAATGCAAACAATCAGTATATTTTTCAGTGGGGAAGACTGCAAAAATGCTTCGGCTAGTCTTTTGAAAAATCTTAAAATTAAACCAGCAAAAGCCATGTCACCCAGAACAAAATTGTTGAAATAAATAAGTTGAAGATATAAACTCCAATTTGTCATTTATTAGTCATCCTGAAACTCAACTACCAATTGTATTTAAACGAGCTCCAAGTTCACATTTCACCAAGTGGGTTCATTTATTCTTTCACAAGACTATAATGCAAAAATCAATATGATTCTCATTCAGGGACAAGAACAGTTACCTGAATACATGAACTCAACAATGGAGATAATTCTTTCTTCAAGTTATCACGGATCAAGCCAAAAATCTTCTCCACACAAGCAGTTAGTTGCTGTTTAAACAATATTGCTGGATACCTTGCTTCAAGATGAGAAATCCCATCTTCAAACCCAATATATTTGAAGGGTGATTTGAGTCCCTGTCATGGAAACAAGAAACAGTAAGCTGAAGGAAAAATACAAACCTTCCACCAAAATCAAACAAGCAACGCTTATGAG